CGCCACTGATAAGCTGGAAGAAACGTTGAATTAACTATTGGCATGTTTAAGGTTGTAATTCAATATCTTATTTTAATTTTCTTTAAACTGTTATCAAAATGATATAACAACGTGAAGATTGTATAACAACGTGAAGATTGTATAACAACGTGAAGATTGTATAACAGCGTGAAGATTGTATAACAACGTGAAGATTGTATAACAATGTTCATAACACTTTATTTAACAAATTGAATTATATAACTACAGGTGAAAGGGGTAAAAAAATAAATTTGTGATATTTATAATTAGAGCATATTTAACTTTATCGAAAAAGCTTAGTAAAAATTCGAAAATAATCTTAGAATCCCTGCAAAGTATGACCCCCCCCCCAAACCACCGCCACGCATGTCATTAAAGATTTGAGAACCGTTCAAAGGTGTCGTGATCACCTTTTTTTTTTCACAGCCCTGTTCGTCTGACCGCGAGGTGTCCTATCTGAACAGCTGCTGCCAGCAAGTGACTTATTGCCGGTTTTACTTTACCTTCAGTTCTAAAGCTATTATTTACTTCGACGTGGATTCTCAAACTGCTCCAATAAACTAGGGCTCAATGTCTCGGTACCAGGATAATGTCATATTGTTACAGCCAGTGAGTCGTCGAGTTGGAGGTTGGTTTTTATTTATTAGTTTTTATTTGTTTTATTATTTGTTTGTTGTTTTTTTTCCCTATTAGAACATGCTCCGCCTGTAGGCCTACTTTGTTATACAAGAACTACAAATATAGGGCCTACTGGGTGCTGGGAACCAGCTAATTAGCCTTGAAGTTTAATCCCAGGCCATGTGGATTTCGTCCTCCGAAGCCCACTCCATCGTCACATTGTGACGGACGGATGCCAGCAAAAAAAAAACAACAAAAAAAAAACAACAAATATACAATTAATACAATGCCTAAATTATGTAGATTTATTGAATCTGAGACATCACCGAGGCATCTTCCCCTACCCCCCCCCCTTCTACCTAAGACTTCAATTAAGCCACTTTACCCCAAAAAAAATCTTGCTTCACTCTTTGAATACCACCCATAAGTCATTTTAAACTTCAAATAACATACATGCTTAAGTTTGTCAGAGACAAATTCATTTCTCGTCATGATTTTGATTTTATGAATTCAGATGTATTCATAGCCGACTTTGTTCAGCAAACAACTCCCAGACTATCAAAAGCAACCTGTTACCGTGTATCGCCCCCTCCCCTTACAGTTTGAGCACCAAAACTTTCAGCTACTAAAGCTTTTATTATGTTTATATTAATTATTTATTTAATACACTCACGTTAGTTCAACTAATATGTGCAAGCTTATGTCTGATTAGTTTAAATTTAAATTCACCGTGTGTGGGTTTTTTTGTTTTTTTTTTTTCTAATGTAAGAGTAAGGTCTCTCATTTCCAACACGCGATATTCATGATAAGACCTACACACACGGCAACATTCCGCGGTAGGGAACATGCTTGTTAAATGTTGGACATATTAAGAGAAGATCGACATTTCAATAGATGACTTCGGTAAGCTTTTATCGAACGAAATAATTATTGTAGGCGAGATTTTTGTGTTTTGTTTTTTGTTTCCCCTCATTCATGCATTTTCCGACATCTGTTATAATTTGTTTCTTGGTTGTGACTTGTGAGGAAATTCCCTCTTTTCCGAAAATTCCACTTGGCGCAAGTCATAGTTTTAAAGATAGTGGTGACATGTCAGGCCCAACAGAGGCGTGTTCTGATAGGGTGACATCGGGTCCAGGTCCATCAGAGGTGTACACTGGTTGGGTGACAGCAGGTAATTCGGAGGCTTAGTCAGGTGGGGTGACATCAGGTCCACCAGAGGCTTAGTCAGGTGGGGAGACATCAAGTCCATCAGAGGCTTAGTCAGGTAGGGTGACATCAGAGGCTTAGTCAGGTGGGGCGACATCAGGTCCATCAGAGGCTTAGTCAGGTGGGGTGACATCAGAGGCTTAGTCAGGTGGGGTGACATCAGGTCCATCAGAGGCTTAGTCAGGTGGGGTGACATCAGGTCCATCAGAGGCTTAGTCAGGTGGGGTGACATCAGGGGCTTAGTGCAGGTAGGGTGACATCAGGTCAATCAGAGGCAAAGACAGGCAGGGTGGCATCTTGTCCAACTGAGTCAAGGCCGTATTTCCAATGAAGCCAACCTTTGCCATGGCCTATAGGTTGCGGCAGTCCAAAAAAAAATATATACATATATATATATATTTTTTTTTTGTGGGGCGGGGGGGGGGGGGGGGGGGGTGTCGTATATGCAGAAGAAATAACCAAGTACTCACTTACATTTTTCGGAAGTATTTTGAACTATTTAAATTTCCATCAACATACATTCAATAAATTGAGGGGTACTTTAACGTTGCCAACTTTTATGTAGTTCTTAGCTTACTCTGGGGCGTATGCCTAAAAGCCATAAGCAGAAAAAGATGACAAATGGTTTTTGCAAAAACTATAAGTGTGTGTGGGAAAAAGGGGACGGGGGGGGGGCTGATATTTTTATTACACCACATACACACATTATTTTGCTTTTTTTTATGCAGCATCATGTCATGTCATGTAATGTGATTTCATATAATGGAATGTCATGAAATTTCATGTCATGTAATATAATCTCATGTAAATTTGACTTAAAATGAAAAGAATGACGTTACAATTTTGTAGTTTTATATAACAATCGATGAAAATCTTGAAGGAGGGGGGGGGGGCGCCAAATGACGTGCTTTGACATAAGGCGTGTGAAATGTGTAAATTCGGTCCTGAGCAGGGGCGTAAATCTGGTAGGCTGGTATCGGGTCCAACAGAGGCCAAACAACGGTGAGCCAGGTCGATAACAACAACAATAAAAAGTAATTACATCCACGAGCCTTTAGCCAGGTGTCGAGCCTCAGGTCGGTGGGTCGGTGCGGAGTGTGATGTGGTCGGTATGGAGTGTGATGTGGTCGGCAGATGAGTTGTGGGTGATAGTAGGGGTGGAGTCCGTATAAGATGAGTGGGCCATAGGAGAGACACTGCGCCTGACTGAAAGGTGTGATATTAAAATGTACAATCATTATTCCCCATAACAAGCCATTCCAGTAAGCTTTATTTTATCGACTGTCATATTTTTTTTTATTTAAAAGCATCACTAGTTGGCCCAATTCGGGGTTTAACCCCCACCACCCCCCCCCCCCCAGCTTAGCCTTCAAATCCAACCAATTCCATTATTCTGAAACATTACCTGCAGGGGCTCCCCTAGGGTTGGTGCCGCCTGGGGGCGGGCCAAGCTTTTTTGTCACCCCTTTCCACTGAAAAAAAACCAACAAAAAAACACTTGACTTTTAGCCGAAAATGACGCCTCTGAATATAAAGAAAAGGAAAATGCCACCGGGAGTGTGCTGCCCCCCCCCCTCCACACCCCCTTACTTCGCCGCTGCTTACGTTTCTAGATTACATCGTTGTTCCCGAATAAAACATTTGGAGCACCGCGAGAAATCTATGATCGTTTTCCTATCCAGTGTAAATAAAAAAAATTTAAAAAAAAGAACTCTTGATTTCTTCGAGTCGAGACCCTTCCAGTATTCCTGGCAACGTCGTCTATCGTGGTACACTGTAACACTGTGTCATCCCTTTGCACTAAGAACCGTGCACACCGAATACAGTAAGGGGAATAAGGTGCGCACCTTTACTCCTAACTCACAGAATGCACGCCAGAATAGATCAAGTGACGTCAGGTTTTATTCTAAAAGTAGTAAAAGTCAGTAATCTACTTTTTTGTGTTGGAGGGGAACAAAAAAATCCAGTTCTTGCAGGCTATAGTTACCAATAAATAATGGGCTGGTCCACTGTTCCAGTACTAAACAGATACTCGTCCCTCTCCCTCATAGACAGTGACGAGGCCATGACAGGCAATTCAGGCTCATACCAGCAAGAAGCCAGTATAGGAGCTGCTCATTCCTACCCAAGACAATCAGGGACTGGAACAATCTTTCTAAAGGAACGGTTGAGGCGACAACACTAGACACATTTGTGTCTATTGCATCAAGCCTTCAAACCCTTAGTGCATGATTTCCTCATCAACACCAGTAACAGAAACATTGCAAATCCCATCTACATGCATAGGAGTCAAAATGATAAATAAATTGATCGTGGGCCCTTAAGATATAGAAGAAGAAGAAGAAGAATAAGATGACCTTGCTTTCGCTCCCCCCCCCCCTTTGCCGCCCCTCTTTTTCCCCTTTCTAGTTTCGCCACTGTGCGAATCAAATTCGTAACTTCCTATGGGAGTCGCTTAGTCAATTATTTTGTCACGTGATATGAGTAAAAACGAGTAAGATTTCCGGTAGGCTGTATACAACACACTAGCGCTTGACAACAGTAGCCCGTTGCACACTACAACTACACTACATTTCGTCCAATGAAAATTAACAATAAAATAAAACAAAGGGGAATGACTCCTGCATCAATATTGAATAAAAACGCAAATGACGTCTTAAGCACGCACGGAGCTCAACAACATCCTGCCGATAATAGTATTGATAGTTCCCATCGAATCCGAATATCGCTCACAAATTTTTCTTGAAATAACTTTCTTCCTTTAATCATAACTGACGTATATTTATTGTCACATCTATGGATTTCATTTAAAAACCGCATGTATTCCAGAATATTTCGAAAGGTAAAATTTTTAAGTAACATGACATTGGGGAAGCACTGATGAAGTATCTTTTGTTGTGTGTAGCAGCCTAGTGATGGCTTACTCACATCACGTGACCAAACAAGGAAGTGACTAAGCGACTCCCATTAGATGGTATATAAAGAAAGACGGAAATGACGAGTTTGTAGCATGCATTTGTGTCTTCCGTAACACGTGGGGAACCCCATCTCCCCTTAACGACATTTCGATGGCAGATGTAACTTATCTATTGGTATAGATGTCAACCCCCCATTCACCTCCACGCCCCCCCCCACTCCACTGTTCTGTTACAGTAGCCTGCTGGTTAGTTTGTTGTGGGGGTCGCCTCTGGCCACAGGGCAGTCATCAGACGAGCGACTGAAAAACGAGACGGGAACGCCCCACCAGAACAAAGTGCTACAATCTACTGACTACACGAGGCCCACCGCGAGGGGCTGACGTGTACGATTACAACGGCCAAAGATAGACATTCTCCATTGCGGAGCACGTGCTTGTTAATTAGTGTTTGGATAGTTCGTGTTTGTTCACCGCCTGAGGAGGGGGGTAAGCCATTTTGTTAATCCTACAGGACTCCGTGATGGAAGGAAAAGTTTAAAACGATTACCGTATTATTTTTTTACATTTTTATTTTTAAAATGTGGTTAATTAATTCGCTACGGAATGAATTGAGGACTTCTAAGGATTGTGTAACACAGTGGTTCTCAACCTAAACTAATGCCACGAACCTTTAATACAGTTCCTCTTGTTGGGGTAACCCGTAACCATAAAATTATTTACGTTGTTACTTCATAAATATGTGTTTTCCGATGATCTGAGGCGACCCAAGGTAAGGGTCGCGACCCACATGTTGAGGACCGCTGGTGTAACATGACTCTCAATGACAGTGGGCATATTTTGGCTTTTTAAAATGTAATGGCACTGATAAAAATAGAATGAGTCATGCAATTATTTTACTAATACCAAATAAATGATCAGCCTATTTGACTCTTCATATGTATTTATATGTAGGCCTATGTATGTTATATAATCATGTGTGTCTCTATAATTATGTATATGTTTGTATGTGTGTCTGTATATGCAGGCGATGTGTTACTGTATAATATGTAGGCCGTGTATGTTGTATTAACATGTGTGTGTGCGTCTGTATGTGCTTGAATGTGGATCTGTATATAGTGGTCTGTGTATGTTAAAATAATCCAATGTATGTGTGTGTCTGTATATGTAAGCCATTCATGTCTGTATATGTAGGCCATGTATGTCTGTATAAGTAGGCCATATATGTTATATTATCGTGTGCGTGTGTCTGTATATGCTTGAATGTGTATCTGTGTATGGTCGCCTATGTATGTCGTATAATCCAATGTATGTGTGTGTCTGTATATGTAGGCCATGCATGTCTGTATATGTAGGCCATGTATGTTATATTATCATGTGTGTGTGTGTATAGATTTGTATATGTGTCTGTAGAATAATATAATAATATATCTACTTTTATTTCTGTGTGTCTGTGGCAGAGTCGTAGTGAAGGGGGGCAGGGGGGACATATGTCCCCGGGCGCCAGCTTGTTAGGGACGCCCAAAAGTGTTTTGATATTATTTTATAGATGAAAATTATTGGTTTGAGAGTTGAAAAAAAGGTTGTTTTTTTGGGGGGTGGGGGGGGGGGCTTTAAAATGAATCTCGTCCCCAGGCGCGAATCTTGTCCCCTCCCCGGGCGCCAAACACTCTCGCCACGCCTCTGGTATGTGGCTATGTATATGTGTTTGTATGAAGCCTCTGTCCCAAATTTAATATCAGCCCAATATTTAAAATGGATTAAGTTCATTTCAATCTGATTTATGTCTAGTGTAAAGTTATCGTTGACATAATGTGTGTAGTTTTTTTTGTGTGTTGTATCCCCCCTCCCCCCCCCACCCCCTTTTCAACTGCCTCACAAAATAATACTGACTATTGAGGTGTTCCATCGTGTTGTATTAAATCATCATTTGCCTACTTGAAATAAAGGAGGCTTAAGCCTACCGTAGCTAAATACAAATGACAATCACCATCAGGGGTGGACTAGGCCGCCGGGACACCGGGAAGATTCCCGATGGGCCGCTAAGACCGGTGATATAATAACAATAAAAGTCATGAAGATAGGGCCGCTTTTTGTTGTTTTTTTCCCGGGCCGCTTTGATTTTTTCCCGGGCCGCTTTGATTTTTTCCCGGGCCGCTTAAACTCCCCAGTCCATCCCTGGTCCCCATTATGTTTAGGTGAAAAACTTTTTTTTTTTTCAAATAGTCGTAATTAAAATTCCCTAACTCTTCTAATCACATTTTTTTTTTAAATTACAAAAATCCTTCATTACGCATGAAATTCCTTTTTTTTTTTTTTTAAAATATTTACAATTTGACTTTGTTTAGGTGAAAAACTTTTTTTTTTTCAAATAGTCGTAATTAAAATTCCCTAACCCTTCTAATCCCATTTTTTTTTTAAATTACAAAAATCCTTCATTACGCATGAAATTCCTTTTTTTTTTTTTTAAAATAGTTACAATTTGACTATGACATCTAACGCCCGAACACTACATCTACTAAATAAAGCTCAATGTGACCATGTTTGTTGGTATATGTGTTAATGTGTATTGCTACTTTATAACAAAGGAAACCAATGGATCACAACCTTCTGATCTCCTGACCCCCGCTCCCCTTTTTGACAGTATGCGTGTTTCATGGAAAGTGTGATCAAAATCCCTTTATTCCAAAAGCTGCAATTTTTAAAAAAAACCATAAAATGTAGAGGGTAAAAATAGTATCTTCAAATAACTTTGAGTAATGTTCAAGTTATTTATTAAAATTTTAAATATAAAAAAAAAATATTTACTTATTTATATTTTTGGTGTACGCATTTCAATAAGCTTTTATTCAGATCGGTCCAGAATTCGTGACACTTTGTGGCGGGGGGGGGGGGAAGGGGGGAGGGGGGGGGGGGAATAAAAAAAATTGTGACGTCGCGATTTAAAATTTTTATTTTCTAATTTTGAAAAATCTTTATTCAATTAATTTCAGATACATTAATACAAGGTCTATAATTGCCTCAGGTATTATAGGTACCGTGAAACGCAGTCGTGCACACCTTCTGCGCATATCGAAAAATGACGCAAAAGCCGGGTTGATGGGACCCGTTAGCCCTGGACGGCAACCCATCTAAAGAGAGGGCGAACTCTGAATCTAAACCAGGAGCCAGAATGATCGACAAATTGATCGCGGGCCCCTCAAAGATAAGAAGAAGAAGAGAAGGCTTAGTATAGGCTTAGTTAGGTTACAATGCAAGCTTCTACGTAAATGTTAGCATCTGGGCCAAACTTGGCAAACATAGGGGCCTCCCTACCTTTCACAATCCCTTTAATATATCGGTGGCTTTCAAACTAACAACATCCACAGCTTTATTATTTATTTTTTTAAATATTTGTTTTGGGGCGGGTGTGTGGGTGTAATTTTAGTTTAAATAAATGCTTTATCTTTTTGCGTTTTTTAAAACGATTTTAAGTTAACGGAACAATTTTTTGAAAATAAAATATCTTCATTATCCAACCTAAAATACTCATTGTGTAAAATATTACAGATTAAGTTCTTTGGGTTTACAACTGTAAACATTTAAAAGGCAACATCTTTGAAAATTCCTTCCGATTTTAATGGGATAAATTTGAAAAAAAAATTAACTTGATTTTTATCTGAATGATTTTTTATAATGGCCCCTATCTCAGGGTATGACTAAAATGGCCAACTAAAAGACGATTTTGTGGACCCCCTTGTGTTATCGTTTTGGAGTATATGGGATTTTATCGTTTCATCCACTATCCATGTCCCACCTAAAGACGATTTAAGTGCCCCTTGATGTTGTTGCCCGGGACGAGTTCCTCATTCGAACCACCCCCCCCCCCCAAATCGATGTTGCACGGGATGCGTTCCTCATTCGACCCCCCCTCCCCAATGGATGTTGCACGGGACGAGTTCCTCATACGACCCCCCCCCCCCCCCCCCCAAAAAAAAAGCCTCTCTACCCTATTAGTGATAACAATATATGAAGAGGAAAATAAAACATTGATTATTATGAAACCATTTAGTAGGCCTCCTTTTTCATACCGATATTTAACGACATTTTTATGATTGTATTGTGAAACATGCTACATGTAAATAACTTAGAGAATGATTTAAAATGTACTACTGTGAAGCACCCCAACCATATGGTTATAATTTATTTGTACGGCTACACCATCAACGGTCTTTTCATATTCACATATTCACTGCATACACGTTTACCTCTAGCTATTCCTGCTAAACAAAAGTGAACCTTGAAAGCATGGGCTACGACCACGTAGACAAAAAACAACTTTTTATTTTGAGAGAGAAAATAGCAAATGGAATGTTTCTTAAGTTCATATCATATGCAGTAATATGCACGTTCATGATAATTGAAAGGAAAGAAATCATATAGAGTAAAAATATAAAATTTTATTTAAAAAAAAACTATATTATTAAGTCTGTTTAAATTAGCATTAGCCCTGATCAACTTACTGGAATTGAGTTTAGAAACAACAAACATTATTTACTTTGAAACCAAGAAAACTAGGCGGCATACTACGGGGAAGCCTCTGTTTTACCAACAATGTTGGCGTACCTCATACTTGAGAAATGAGAAGAATTTTTTGGGGGGGAGTATTATTCTAATTTAAAAGTCGAAACATTCCTTTGATGTCCATTCACCGTGGACCTAATGTGTTTCATATAGCAACCCAAAGTTGATTCAACATTGATCATGGAAGCTGAGAAAAATTTACATACGGCGATATAAGTTAAGACATAGATCTAATGATAATGTAATGTTTATTGAATATTATTTACATTCCCATCCGGATTATGCAAACTAAACAAAATAATATAGTTATTGTGATGTCAATGTGTTACCATAAGGCATACTATGTCAAAATGTACGACGCCGACGACGGATTTCGACGGCTGCTTCTCTATCACTATCACACGTCACACAGCTTGTCTCTGTGACCTGTGTCATTCGCTCAGCCCAGTGACCTGATTATTGCATCTGACGGCAGTTATGAGTGATTTATGGCGATGCCAGTTCAAATTGCAAGTTTTAATAGGTCAAATCAGTAGTAGTTTTTTTTACTTTGTTAACCTGGCCTGCCTAAAATTAAAAACCAGCTTAATTTATATTAATTTCAATTACAATTTTTCATAACACTATTAATACTATTAATTTTATTAAATATTAAAACTATTAACACTATTATCATTGGCATATGTAACATATAATTATAATGATATTATTATTGATTGAATTTGATAATGATAATCAACTACTTAAATTTTTTAGACTAATAATAGAATTTATATTAACTTATCTTAGCTTATGGTACTTTTTTATTCACTTCACTTTCACTCAGTAGTAGCAGTAGTAGTAATAATAATAATAATAATAAAGTTCATTTCAAAAACACGCTTCATCCCCAAAGGCTCGAAGCGCGGTTAAAAGTCAACAAAAAACAAATCTATAATTTACCATATTTAAAACAAACGCAACACTACAAAAACTAATTACAAGCATACAAATACAATGGCAAAGTCTTTCTAGCCATTTCAACCCTAAGCAACACAGCCATTATGCATTAACTGGAAAATAAGGTAGACAATCATCCCAGAAGGTGTTTGCGAAATAGATGTGTCTTTAAATCGGTTTTAATAGTAATAGGTCTTAGACTTGGTATTAGAGTAGACAACTCACTACTGAACTGTAACAGTAGTCAGTGTAGTGTAGTAGTAGTAGTAGTAGTAGTAGACAGTAGACCCACTTCAAAACTTGCCTATCCACTATCCTGTTAATGTTAATTGTTATTTTTAATTGTATTGATTTTGATTGAATAGGGTGTCAGGATATTTAAAAAAACATCTATGCATTTAAAAATTTTATAAATGATAATAATAGTTATTCCAATATATTTGTAGTTGAGCTCGATATGGCCAGTGGCATCATCATTTGACCTGGTTTAGAAGACTAATTGAAAGATAGAATTATTTGTTTCCAATTAACTTGTCATTAATAACTTGTGCAAGAATATATAATGTATAATATATAAACCTCTGATTACTATACATTATGATTTGTTTGTTTTAAAGTTATTTTTTCTTTAACATCTATAGATTAGACTGTGATGTGGTCCAGCAATCCATGCAATGGCTAGTCTGACAGTCACATATGTATTGTGGCTTTTCTTTGGCTGGCTTGGACTCCACCATGTTTACTTGGGTCGATGTGACCAAGCCTTTGTCTGGTTCGCCACGCTGGGTGGTGGATTTGGAGTCGGTTGGCTTAGAGACTTATGGCGCATTCCTCATTATGTCAAATGGTCGACTGGTGATCCGGCATATCAGAAAAAACTTTTGATGAGGTAGACATTTAGTAAACATTTAAATCAGTTTTCATTAATTTCATAATTTAGTGCATTACACAATTAAAATATCCCTTTTCTTACTAATGTTTTCACTTAAGGTTTTTTTTTTAAATTCAAAATTAAACATATTTCACACATTTTATTTTTATAGATGAACAAAATTATATAACCAAAGTATTTAAGCTTTACTTTTCAAAATCAATAATTTTTAATTAGTCATAAATTGTCCACAAGTGCTACTTATTTACTAGAGCAGTGCTTCTCAAAATTTTATGTCTGTAGCCTGGTTACTTTTTATATTTTTTCTTTATGACCCACTAAACATTTTTAATGCTTATTCTGACCTATAGGTAATATAAAACAGATATGAATGTCCATATAACTTAATACATTTAAATTTAAAAAAAAAAAGAAAAAGAATTTACTTTTACAAAACTGTAAAAAAACACAAAAACAGAAGCCTTTTAAATAGCAGGTGTCATTGTTTGGACTAATTAGCTGTCAACAACGAGACAGCAAAACATTCACATTCTTTAACAAGCCAGCATTATTGCTTTACTTGTCTGGTACTCAGTAGTGAGCCAGTGTTGAGTAAAATGCTGTAATAGAGCACACTCAAATGAGTAATTAAAAACTCTTTTTTCCAGGATAGCTGGTAACCTTACCCCATCATGCAGCTTGTTCCGTTTGGCTGGAATCATAGTCATGGGCTATGTCTGTGCAGCTGCACTGTGTTTCATTGTTCCTGAATATCTACCAGAAGAGATGACGGCCAGTCCTGTTTTCGGCACACTGTGTCTTTGGAGTGGGAAGCTGTTATATGTTATTGGAGCGATTCTAGGTATGATGAAAATAATAAGGTGAGGCTATTTAAATCACCTTCATTGTCAAGTATAGGCCTCTTTTAAAGAGGCGTAGGTTTTAATTACATACAGGGAAAATTTGTGAATAGCGCAAACCTTTGGGACCATAACAAAAGTGGCACTACAACTAGTGCTGTGCGTTTAAAAGCGTCTGGGAAATTCTGGTTTTACATGTGTATATATTGTGTATATATTGTTATTTGCCTCATTATTCTACATGCGCACATTTTGTTTCCTCCCAGTTCTACATGTGTATATATTGTTGCCTCCTATTTCTACAGGTACATATATTGTTGCGAACATTGGTGAACTCCAATGCTCCATCAAACAACCTTTCTACGGCTGCCTGTTTCTATTCTTCAGTGTGTTCTCTGAGGATGGGAGGGTTTCAATGGCACCGGTTCTCGCTGGACTCAGCATATGGTTTCGAGGATTCAGATGGCGCCAGCTGGAACCGGAATCGGTCAACAGGGTCGGTGCCAAGAAGCGCCACTGTGTTAATTTCTCAATGTATTGCCTGGTTTCGGGTGTTTGGCTCTTAATCCTCTGCTTTGGTTTGTACTTCAACGCCAACGTCAGCATTGATGGGGGGGAGAAGATACCGTTACGGGTGGCAATATCCAACTTCTTCAAGTCTGACGCCTGGATACGCACCAAAGACTCGCTGTACCAGATGTACCGCATTTACCGCCATGCTGGGTGGACCAGGATGTTCAATGACGCAAAACAACTATTTGATCTGTCCGGAGAAGGCCATGCCTACAGGGTGAGTTGAAAACTAAGATCAGTCATAGATGGTCTGGCCAGCAACAAATCAATGAGGGATCATGGGAAATTTACAAAGAGTGAATTTTATGTGTGCACATTAGAGCAACTAAAAATTTAATTTAATTTGAAGACTTAAAATGTTCAGTTCCATCAAATAAACCTGTGTTTCCCCTTGAAATAAATCAAGTGTTATAAAGTATGTTATGATTAAAAAAAACAGTGTTGGATTGGAAAAATGTGTAAGTGGGGGGGGGGGGGTGTTCATGGATTTGGTGATGAAAAAGAAACCAAAATAAAAGGTCTAAAACGGCTAAAGTCCCAAGGTTGAAATGGCTTCCCCCCCCCCGTATCTGGAAATTTGTTTGAAAAAAAAAAACAGTGTTGGATTGGGAAAATGTGTAAGTGGGGGGGGGGGGGATGTTCATGGATTTGGTGATGACAAAGAAACCAAAATGAAATGTCTAAAACGGCTAAAGTCCCAAGGTTGAATAGGCTTCCCCCCCTCCGTATCTGGAAATTTGTTTGAAAGAAATTTCATCTACGGAAAATTGATCGACGGAAATTTGGTCGAATCTTTTTTTCAGTTCACACATTAAAATTTTCGCCAAATTTCGTTTTGAATGCATTATTTTGTTTTACTATATAGTATAGTGCATTCAAAAAGAAATTTGACAAAAATTTTAACGAGTGAACTGTAAATAAGATTAAACTAAATTTCCGTTCTACTAAATTTCCGTCGATCAATTTTCAGTCTACGAAATTTCTTTTAAACAAATTTTCGGTAACCCTTCTTCCATCCCATTTTTTTCAAACCCACTCACTTTTCATCTTTTTTTATTATCTCCCATGCCACCTGAGAGCCAGTCCTACTTTGATGGGTTTTTTTTGGGGGGGGGGGGGGGGGGGGTTCTTTTGGGATGAGCAATCAGACAAAGATGAACAACTCATCATGTTATGGCAGACATCAGCTGGAACACCCATTAGGGATTTGATGCAAATTAGTTGCAGTGAATAATTGTTGTCTGATTGATTATTCATAGTGTTGACCTGTTCAGACAGAAATATTCCCTTGGACCTCTGGATTTATTTATAGACTAACGCAATGTAGCATCTTTGTGTCATATAACACCCCCCCCCATGTTTTTTCCCCCTTTCCCTGTTCACACAGGATTTGGTTGATACCTCTGTTTTCATATCCTGGATTTCATGGTTCTTGCCCTGCACTTAACAATTAGAACTTCCGAATCATTGGACCAACCTACTGAACCAAAGCCGAAACTAGGTGCCCTGGGTGACCTTTTAATCTCGGCGCACCCCTGCAAAATGTGCCTCTGTGTTTTTTTTGGAGCCCTTTCTACCACGAGGGGCTGCCCACCTCGCCCATCCAATTTTTGTACTCTGTACAATGCTTAAAAAAATAAATATATAAATAAAACCACTTACTACATTAGTCTATCCTGATAAAATAAATCTACATTTGTTCATGTTCTTATCTAATTTATGTCTGCTGTTGTGGGATGATTTTTGTGTCACCGTAACCAGAACTATTTGTGTCACTTTTCCAGATTCTTGACCTCGACAGTAAGGCATCTCAGGAGGAAATAAACAAGCGTTGCCGCAGCCTGTCGCGTGACAACCACCCCGATCGCTTCAAGGATCCCACGGAGAAGGAGAATGCGCAGGAGAAGTTTATAGAGATTCAGGCAGCTTGCAGCACATTGTCGGCGACAAGAACGAGACGAGCCAAGTCAAGCAGTCAGTCAGAGGACAAGAAAACAGATTCTAATCCATTTGGGCAGAAGGACGAATTCTAAACCAATCTTAACCAGGTGGTGGATATGATAACATGTGATGGCCCGTAGGTAGTAAACAGGAGGTAGCCAATAATAAATATGTGATGGCCATTGACAGCCAATAGTAAAATGGTGGTAGTGTAAATTAAAAAGTGATAGCCATAATATAGTCAACAGGTGGTAGCCAATTAAAAAAAAAGTTTGTTTTCTAATAGTAAACAGGTGTTAACAATGTTAGGTGAATGTCAATGCTAGTCAGGTGAATGCTAATGCTAGTCAGGTGAATGCCAATGCTAGTCAGGTGAGTGCCAATGCTAGTCAGGTTAATGCCAATGCTAGTCAGATGAATGCCAATGTTAGTCAGATGAATGTCAAAGTTTGTCAGGTGAATGTCAATGCTAGTCACTTGTATATAAATGGAGCCATATTGTAATAGCCATGACATGCCCAGCCATAACTCACAGCCATGTTATACCCAGCCATCTCAATGTGATCTCAAAGCTAAATTTATTTCTTATTTTTTAATATAAATATTTATATATTCATGTTTGGGATACGCAGGCCACATGACCAATGATGATGCTTTGCTATAAAATCATTGATCTGCACTGAGATTGTATGGAAAAAACAACAACTTTCTAAGTGAGTGAAGCCAACCTTCAGCTTTTAATGGATTCAGTTTTTAAAAAAACAACACATATATTCCAAAAATGAATATATACAGTGCAATGAAAACAAATTTCCTTTTGTTATATCGCTAAAGGAATCTAATCTTAAATTGTTGGGTGATTCAGGATTTTAAAAACTAGAAAATTCAAACTGTGTAAAAATGTAATAAATTGATTATTTTTTGGTATCGATTATTATATCAACTTTAATGTAATATGTTTGTTTGTAGGGTTATCATGTAACATTTTTTTAAAATAATTTAATTGAAATATTTAGAGACTTTCTGTTCAAGGGCATCAACTAGACAAAAACTTGTTGCACTAGATATGCCAACTTTCATGTGTGCCGCTGGAATATAAAGTGTGGCCTTTAGCTAAAGTTAAGTTGGACAGCTCTGATATATATATAAATAAAATCAATCCAAATACGTTTTTCCGGGTGCGTTTTAACTGCAAATTGAGATTTGAAACCTTTATTGAAATTCATCAAATCAAATTTAAATAATAATATACTACTTTGGATGCTGACCCACAAAGTAACAGATGATTTGAAACACTTGAATGATGTTTGGCAACACTTAGTAATTAGCTTAGGTGCATTGTTCGATGAAAGAGTGTGAATACTGCAGGACCATAGCAAAATAGGTTGTTTTGCTGATTTTTTTTCTTCTTAAACTGTTGTTACACCCGGCCTTGTCCTAGGACCAAACAATTTTTTAACTGCTGCAACTGTTTTGACATTCATCCCCAATTTGTTTTAAAGGTCCTTAAGGGCCAAAATGTTTATACTTAACAAATTACTAATGCAAAAATATTGATCCGTAGCATAAGTTAATATTTGAATCAATCGTTTTTAGAGTTACGAGATTTATGATAGAAAATTGACTGTTATTTCGACTTATTCCTCCTCGCTTGTCAGTGCCATTGTTACCGCAAATATCTTGTTATTAATTTACTCAAACAAACGGCTTCTGGTGATGCTTAAATTTTTTTACCACATTTTATTAATTTATTATTTAGTGTTAACACCGTGTTGAGCTGACCGTTGGTGTGTAAACAAGATTGTCAAGATAAATCAAGTAGATCAGAAGATTTCCCCACAATGTGTTTTTTTCTCGCTGGGTGCCAGTACCAGATGTTTCAATCTATAGCATTTTATTTTACAAAAGTGATGTTATTTTTATCATTCACTGCATTTATTTTTAAATTCTCCATTTATTTATTAGTCATTATGTTCATTCAGCTGGTGTGTCATAAATTTGGTTTTGCAGCTTTATTTTATTAGAATCAATTAAACTTCTTTTAATAAACATTTTTTCTCTTTTATCTCTTCCCCCCTCTCTCTCCCACATTTTTTTACAAACATTTTTTTCCCTTTTTTTCCCCCCCCCCCCCCCAATGTTATTTTTAAAAAAAACTCTTCTTGTTATCTACAATTTTTTCACTTATGATTTTTACAATACTAATTTTTTTGTCCTAAAAATTATCTATTTTGTTCTGTCCATTATGTAACAGGGTTTAATTTATACTTGACCTTAATATTCAATCAATGACCAGTGACTTTATAAAAATGCAATTTTCCAGTTTTAACTTTTATACCTGTTACATAAGTGATATACAATTTTTCTTCATTCATTGGAGCCAACAAGTTATTTAAAAATAACAATAAATCAAGTTTAAAAAAAATATATATATTCAACGTCAAATATCAAATACGTAGTTTTTAATTGGAACTGAAACAAAAATATTTGTTAAAATATGACGTCTTCTTGTTGTTGATTTGCCATCTAAATTGTGTAATACTAGTACGTATTTATTTTATAAGGAAGATCAACATAATATTTATACATTGTACCATAAGTTTAAGTATTATTCCCCTTGGAATACTCGGCAAACAATGATAGGACCGGTTGTGGTTTAACATTCAAGAAGCAACGGTTAAATTGGCAAATTTAAAAATAATTAGACGCTACATCACGTCAAATAAATGTTCAAAAAAAAATTGAAATAATAATACAAAGCTACGAGGAATTTTTAAAAGTTCTAACAAATTAATTTCATTCTTTTATTTATGTTAATTTAAGTTTTTTTTTTTTTTTTTACAACGCTTTTGACAGATATGATTGAAATAAAACCAGGGGCGCCCGTAGTCCGTTTAGGCTACTTTAGGATATCGTAATGAATTTTTAACGCCCTAAGATTTATTATACTGGAGAATATCGTAATGAATTTGTTACGCCCTAAGATTTATTCTACTAGGGAATATCGTAATGAATTATTAACGCCCTAAGATTTATTCTACTAGGGAATATCGTAATGAATTTGTTACGCCCTAAGATTTATTCTACTAGGGAATATAGTAATGAATTTGTTACGCCCTAACAGACCTGTTTACTCTTACGATTTTGGCGTACAATGTACGATTTTTAGATGTCTTTTACGTTTGTACGCCGAGACCCGCCAAAACTACGATTTTCAGAGGTCGGGTGAAAAGTATTTGGGTAATTTTTCTGATTTAAAAAAATAATAATAATTTGATTGTTCGAGTTTGAGCCCCTTCTAATAAAGATCTGGCAGCCAATAGACCGAGAAAAACCATTGATTGTAATTTGTTTATTTTTTTTTTTAGTTAGAACCATCCTTTGTTATATTATGTACGCACTG